CGAGTTCCAGGAGAATTTGTCATCAACTATGACACCTAGAAATTTAATTTCATATACTCGTTTTATATTAGCTCCTCCAATTTTCAATTGAGGTTCATTATCTAGTCTACGATTCCCAAATACCATAAATTTAGTTTTATCCAAATTCAGAGATACTATATTGCTGTCGCACCATTTCTTGATGATGTCAATGCTGTGTTGTGCCTTATTTTATTACAACTAAATTTCCAAAAAACAATTAATGCAGGTTAAGTACACCTAAACACAAACAAATTACTTCAAAATAAAAAGAAAGAAAAAACACCTTTTACTTTTGTTATGCATACTGTAAGTATTTTCCATTTTTTGTATGGCTTTTCTACTCTCTGAAAAAAATGCCTTTAAATCCCTGTTTTGAAAGTGCTATAATGTAATAATAATAATAATAATAATAATAATTGTATTATTATTTTTATTATTATTGAATAATAAGATTTTTCACCTTGGAAAATGCAATTATGAAAAGTGTTTCACTCCAGGATAATTGTCTTGACTCTCATACTCTGGCCTTCTTTCTCTCACTCCTTCTCTCTGTTTCTCACCCACTACACCACCTTCTTCCTATCTCTGTCTCTCAGAGGGCAGCAACAGCAGCCATGATTCTCAGGTTGGGCCAGTTGGAGGTGTGGAGAGGGATAAGAGGACAGTCATTCCTCTGGCTGTTGTCTCCACTCTTACCATCCTGTGTCTACTGGTACTGATGGGCATTCTCATCTACTGGAGGTACATAGTACATGTACACAAGTTTAGTATCTGCCTGTATCAATTTCACTTCTGTAATTCATTTAGATTTTGATTCATTTGTATCACAGAAACTGTTTCCAGGCTGCTAATTTCTACCCAGATGGCAGTATGTCATCTAAAGTTGTACCCGCTGCGCCTACACCCCTGCTGCTTGCCACAGGTAAAACAGACACACACATACTCGCTCAGAGCACTTTAATATATTATCATTGTGAAGTCAGACAGAGCTGATAAACAGTGTTAAGCATGGAGTGAAATGTTCACTCTATTGTTGCAGATGGACATGAGCCATTGACAGTGAAGCAATTTGTGAAGCATGTCATGGAGCTCCACACCACCAACACCTTCTCCAAGGAGTTTGAGGTGTGTAGAATCCATCCATTATTTATAGCACTTATTCCTGAATAGGGTCACAAAGGGCTGGAGCCTATCCCAGCTGACACTGGGTGAGAGGTGGGGTACAACCTGGACAGGTCGCCCTGTCACAGGGCTGACATGTAGACAAACAGCCACACACACTTATACTCACTCCTACGGGCAGTTTAGGGTCACCAGTCAACCTAAGCTGTATGTCTCTGGACTGTGGGAGGAAGCCAGAGTACCTGGAGAGAACCCATGCAGGCACAAGGAGAACATGCAGACTCTGCACAGAAAGTGTGTAGAATCTTCATCATAAAAATATTCATAAAAATGTCTGTGGGCTTTCTTACCAACATAAACAGCCACTTGACATTTTGAGAAAATCCACCAGTAAAAGATGGTCAAAAGTTTTCACCAGCTCAAGTATCACCTCTCATCCAAGAGGCTTCATCAGTTCAGAACTGCAAGTCGACCTAGAAATCTAGTCCGGTTGATATTTCTAAGTTTTTTTCAGCTTACTATGACCTGGATGACTGAGAATCTGCACAGACTTTGTGTATGAAGCCTTTATATTTTCTTCGCAATAAACCCAGTGGCCCCCCCCCCCCCTTCTTACAGACACACACATACATCTCAGTCTGCAGTTCCTTTTTTGTACAGATGTGCCTGCTAACTTCCTTTATTCACAGAAAAGTTCCCCCTTTCCTTAACTGCAGTATTGCTGCTGGTGTGCTGAAGTCTGGTTCATGGGTCTGCTTGGGCTTTCTTCTTGGTACAATTTATGATCACCTTTGTTTCCTTCTGTAGGCTTATAGTACTGTCTCCAGCTATCACTGCTGTCTAACTCTTGGCTATGCTTGAAATCAGATTGTTGAAAACCACCTGTTTCTGTCCTTCAGCCTAAAAGGTCTATCTCTGCTTGTTTTGGATTTGCAGCAAAGTTTTAGAAGTGTTTCATATGGAGTGTTTAATATTAAAATGTTGGTTAGTTTTATGTTTGAGAGAAGCTTGTGGATTAGTTTCAACAGCAGGAACATCTACACATCTGCATGGCATTAGTCACCTCTGTTTCCTAGCATGAACCTCCTGAGTAACACACACACACACACAGATAGGACTAACTGAAGTATACTTTTCCTGTGTAATTACCAGTGGATTTGCACATTTTCTCCCATTTGGTAACAGTGCTTTCACCCTTTCTATAGTTGCAGCATTAACCACCATGGATAAGTGTAACTTTCTTTGGAAAAAAGGAGGCCAAATTTACAAGAGTTAGGTTTTTATTCAAACAATATGATGCCTTCATATTTCATGGTACTGAATAATATATGATTTATATATTTGCAAGCTGAAAGTACATAGCTTAGATGGGAATGTCATGGTATTTCCCACTCAGCAAAGCCTCTCTGTGTGTATCTGAACCCCATAGTTTTGTATGTGCACTGACTCCCTGTCTGTCTGCCATCTTGTCCCCTCCACTCCTCGAAATCTCCTTTCACCATCTCCACCACCATCATCGTGCTTTCTGCGTCTTCACCATCTTCCATTAGATTGTCAAAGAATCCTATGAGGTAAGATACCTACCACTTCACTTGCAGAGGTGTTGTTTTCTTGTCCTTTGTTTATAACAACAAAATGGCATTTGTTTTACAATGAAATCTCTTTTTTTCTTTTTTTATTGCAACATAAAACACATTTACAGGACAAAGCACATAACAGTTCATGAGACAACAGACATTAACAAAAGAGGCAAAGTGATTATTAATTTATGAAGGGATTATTAATTGAGAGTATTGAGTTATGTGTTTGAAAGTGTGTAGTGTGTGTGTATCCCAACTCTATGCAGACTGATATCCATTACTTAAAGGAAAACAGAATTAAACCAAATAAATTAGGAAAATGGAGGGGGTATAAATGTAAAGGAATGAAAAGACAGTTTGATAAAAAATGAATGATTGTAGTAATAAAATAACAAAGAAGAAAATAAAGCAATATCAATCATATATTATGGATTGTAGTAATAAAATAAAGAAGAAAATAAAGCAATATCATTCATATATTATATACTTTTCCATTCATATACTTGGATATACACTTAGATATACTTTTTCCATTCATATACTTGGATATACACTCAGATATATATCTAAACACATTCATAAAACAAAAATAAATGAAATTATTAGATCGGTTAATGATTAGAAAGCGAGGGAAGAGCAAAAGAAAAAAAGAGGGGTAGGTAATATTCTCAGTTAATTTGGTTCGATTGTGTGACACTCAAAACAGAAGCATGGACAATTAGGACTAATAACAGTAACAATAATGAAGTTAAAAGCAGCCTGTTATATTTCTAGGAGTTTGTGGGAATGTGCGTGGCCTCGGCCTCAGGTGCTGGTTTAAGTTAAAAGAGGTTAGAAATGGATTCCAAGTGTCAGTAAAGGTTGGTATATTATTCTTATGGATGGATAGATATTTTCCATAGTGTGATATATTCTATAAGAAGGTTGGTCCAGTGGTTGATGTGTAATGAATATTTTGAAATTCATTACACAGTTTAGAAAGATCATTTTCTTGGCGATAGTTAGAGAGATAAGAAGTGGGTTTTTATATTTAATTGGTAGGTGGTTGACTTCTGTGACATTACCGAGCAGGCAGAGTGACGGGGATGGGGATGGGGGGATTCTACAGCTCAAGATGGTGGAGGATTTCTCAGTCACCGCTACCCAGAGGGAGTAAACGGGTTGACAGGTCCAAGTAACATGAATGTAATCATAAGCGCTATCCAGAGTGCATTGTGAGCAGGTATCGGTATCAATGAAACCCATTTTAAACATTTTACCTTGTGTGACGTGAGTCCTGTGAAGTCTTGTATTGTATAAGCTGTAAGATTATATTGGTAGTCATGGAAATGATATTATTACAAATCTTGGTCCAGAAGTTGGGGCTGGAGGGGAGCAACAAATCCGTTTCCCATTTAGTCATTGGTAATGTTATTGTTCCATCTGTATTTGACATTAGTTTATAAAGTTTAGATATTATCTTCTTTGAGTTTGTAAATTTCATTATCTTCTCAGGTAGAATGGAAGGTTGCTGATTATATCGATCTTTGATGTAATTATGGATTTTAACTGTTGGTACTGAAGAAATTCTCCTCTCCCAACTCCGTGCTTCTGGCCTAATGTATTAAACTGATTGTTTTCAAATAGATGATGAAGGTGAGTGATTCCTTTCTGTTGCCATGTTGGAAAGTAGATGGGATTATTATGAAGTTGAAAGTCAGGGTTATGCCAAATTGGAGTGTATCTACACGGTGTTAATGATGATTTAGTGGTTTTGTTTGCTTTCCACCAGGCTGTCAGAGTTGCAGAGATTGTGATATTTTTGAAATAGTTAATTTTCCTAATTGAGTATGGTCTGCAACTGAAGTATTTTTGCATTGATTTTGTTCTAGTTCTATCCATGTATCCAGGAGCTATTACAACTGTCTTTCTGAATCCATTGAACTAAATATTGTAATTGATTTGCTAAGAAATAATACTCAATATTTGATGCTTCTAGGCCACCTTTTGATTTGTTCTTCTGGAGTGTTGACAGGGAAATTTTTGGGTTTCTTATTATTTCAGTAAAATTGTGAAGTTAGAGAATTAAGTGATTTGAACCATTTATCTGTTGGTGTTGTGGGAAGCACTGAAAACAGGTAGTTAATTTGTGGTAAAGTTTTCATTTTGACTGTAGCAATTTAGCCAATGATTGACAGTGGGAGGTTGGACAATCATTTGAAATCATCTTCTATATTTTTTAGCAGAGGGGTGTAGTTAAGGTTGCAAAGTTCCTAGTGGAAAGCCTAGTGGAAATCCATCCATTCATCCATTTTCTATACTGCTTAGTCCCAAACAGAGTCACGGGGCGGTTGAGCCAATCCCAGCCAGCTGCGGGTGAGAGGCGGGGTACACCCTGGACAGGTCGCCTGTCCATCGCAGGGCTAACACACAGACGAACAACCACTCACACACACAATCACTCCGACAGGCAATTTAGAGACACCAATCAACCTATACTGCATGTCTGTGGACTGTGGGAGGAAGCCGGAGCACCCGGAGAGAACCCACGCAAGCACGGGGAGAACATGCAAACTCCACACAGAAAGGCCCCAGGTTGGCAGGGGCTCGAACCCGAAACCTTCTCGCTGTGAGGAAACAGCGCTAACCGTCATGCCACTGTGCTGCCCCCCTAGCGGCAATACAGATG